CTGAACTTTCAAGAATTCTTTCTAACATTTTTAATACCTCATTCTCAAGCGGTATTTTCCCAGAAAACTTATAAAATTATACCTATTTTTAAAAATGATTCAAAACTATTTATGTCAAACTACAGGCCAATTTCCCTCCTCTCTAATATTGATAAAATTCTTGAAAGACTAATGTTTAACCGCTTAGACAAATTCTTCAATGAAAATAAACTGTTTTTTGAATTACAATTTGGTTTTCGAACAAACTACTCTACATCACTTGCTTTACTAAGTCTAACAGAAAAAAATTAAAGATTCTTTGGATGAAGGAATGTTTGGATGTGGCATTTTTATCGACCTTCAAAAAGCATTTGACACTGTAGATGTTGACATTCTACTTTATAAGCTATCCTACTATGGTATTAGAGGAGTTTCAAACTCTTGGTTCAAATCTTTTTTTACTAATAGAACTCAATTAGTATCTATTAGTGGAGTGAGCTCAGACCTGAACGTTATCAAAGTAGGTGTTCCTCAGGGATCTGTCCTTGGCCCTTTACTATTTTTTATTTATATTAATGACATGTCTAAAGCTTTAAAATTTTGTGGATGATACAAACCTTCTCTATTTTAATAAGTCTATAAAAAAAAATCAACAAATATGTTAACTATGTTCTTAAAAAACTATGCAACTGGTTAAATGCTAACAAAATATCTCTTAACTCTAAAAAAACTGATCTAATATTGTTTAAAAGTCGGCAAAAAAAAATTAGATCAACAGCTCAAAATTAAGTTAAAAGGGAAAAAACTAACGTGCAAAAAATTTGTAAACTAGTTGGGTATAAGGCTAGACGAAAACTTAACCTGGACTTTACATTGTAATGACTTATCTAATAAGTTGAATAGATCCCTTGCCATTCTGTCAAAGCTAAGACATTTTATACAACAAAAAACACTAAAATCTATTTACTATGCTTTGTTTCACTCTCACCTAACATATTACCTACTATCATGGAGTCAAAACTTAAGTATTGTGAATCGCCTAATTATTATGCAAAAAAAAAGCAATCAGGATTATTGAATTTCTACCAAAAAATTCACATACATTCACATCTTTTAAAGCACTACAAATTTTAAAAGTACATGATATAATTAAAATTGAAAATTGTTTATTTATTCACAGCTGCCTCCTATATTTTATAAATGGTTTACTCTACGCAGTTTAGTCAGCTGTCAACTTACAAGAAATTCTTGTAGAGGTCCACTGAATGTGCCAACATATAATACAAAATTATATGGTAAACATTCCTTTAAATACTCTGCATTAATAGACTGGAATCAAATTCAAAATAAATTAAAGTTATTTCCTTTTAACAAAATTAAAAAATATGTCCTCAAAACCAAATTAAAATACTACTTGCTGCATCAAGATTAATTGAAACAACAGTAGTATCGCTGGTGATAAATTATATATCACCGTAAAAAATGGATAAGTTATTTATATGAATGTTAACTAATTTCAATCTTATGTGAGTGTATTATTTATTTTATTTTTATTTTTTTGTTGTCTTTTTTGTTTTATTTGTTCATGGTCGCTCTCCTCGGTTTAGCGTAGCTATATGAGAGTGAACCATCCAGAATGTAGACTATATATATATTTTTCATAACTTATAACATTCTTCTGTAAAACATCTGTATTTCTGGTAAATATATTGCTTTTTGTTGTTGTTGTTGTGGTTGTTGTTGTTGTATGCATGCATGCATGCATGCATGTATGTATGTATGAATGTATGTATGTATATGTATATATATATATATATATATATATATATATATATATATATATATATATATATATATATATATATATATATATATATAAGCTAATAAAAAAAACTACAAAAATAATCATTTCAAAATATTATTTTTAAATAAGTTTAAAAATATCAAGTGTGCATTTGCAAATTTTTTTTAGGTTTATGTTGTTTATCTAACGCAAGTAATTGTTATAATAACATTTCATAGTACTAAGTATTCAGTTAAATATTTTTAATATTTTGTAAAAATTAATAGAAATAAGAGTTTGTTAATTTTCAAGCATTAAGGTGTTTTTGTAATAAAAGAAGTAATTAATAATTTAATTAATTAAAAAATTTAATTAAAAATTAATTAATAAAAAGCATATTGCATTTATAAAGTTCATTAATGAACTATTACTAAGATATAAATTTAAACAAAGAAATAATAAAAATTTTGACCATCCAAAAAAAAAAAAAACTGACTGTTGATTCTGCATGTTAGCCTGTAGAATTGATCGCACAAGTTTAATTTCATATTTTCCAGCTATTATATTTTAAACCCTAATATATTTTGCACAACTTAAGCATAAAATTGTCGAATTAAAATTCAAACTGTATTTTCAGAAAAAGAAGAAAACCACAAGAAAAACAAAAAAAAAAATTTTTTACCTATAATTTAAGTTCCTATACAATAACTGCTTAAAGCCAAACCCTCAGTCAATACT